CATGAGGAAGAGGACCAGTGTAAAGCGACGGCCCACCAAGGATGTTGGAGTACACCCTCCCTCCAAGTTTCCCTTGTCGTAGGCCCCATACAAGGGTTCATCTCCACAGGGAAGTGCCCCGCCGTGCCACAACACTATATCCAGGACTTCGACGCCACGAGTCAACCTGACTGTTGCGCATTGGCAGCCGTGCCAGAACACCATTCCTGGGACTTCAAGCCTGCGAAACAACGTAACCTTTGCGCCCTGGTACTTCTGAGTCGTTCCAACACGTTGTTTCTGGTACGCTAACCATGGGAATCAATGGACTTGCCGCACATATTTAACGAGAGTGCGCGCGGCGCCAAGGCGAGAACCACATTTTGAAAACGACCCGCCCTCAATGCGTGAAGCTCTTGTAGAGTTGTAAGACGAATGTGCGTGGCGCCAAGGCGAGAGCCACATTTCAAGAATCACCCACCCTCAATCCGTCAATCTCTCACATGTTTTAAGACAAGTGTGCGCGGCGCCAATGCGAGAGCCATATGTTGGAAACCTTCCGCCATCAATCCGTGAAGCTCTTGGGAGTTTTTTGGGGCGTTTTTTACTTAGCAGCGTTTGCTGATAGGTTTCTAGTAGGGTCAAAAGAGAGCATCATGACTCCTCAGGGGGGTCTGGGCGGGTGCCGGGGAGGAGAACCGGGAACAGAACCGGGAACAGAGCCGGGCTCGCTTTTCGCCAACAGTCACACGCTTCGTGCTCTTCGACCTCCCAGAACTCCATTCCCGGGCCACATTCTGGATGCCCGGAGCCAACTGTAGGCCACTTCGTGCTCTTCGACTTCCCAGAATCCCATTCCCGGGCCACATTTTGGATACCCGGAGCCAATTGTAGGCTACTTCGTGCTCTTGGACTTCCCAGAACACCATTCCTGGGCCACATTTTGAATGCCCGGAGCCAACTGTAGGCCACTTCGTGCTCTTCCACTTCCCGGAACTCCATTCCCGGGCCACTGTTGCTGCTGCTAGTGTAGCTATTGCTATTGCAACTACTGGCAGTGCCACTGCGACTGCCGCTGATGTTGCCACTGCGACTGCCACTGCGAATCCGAATGCCAGGCTGAGGCTGAGGCAGGCTGAGGCTGAGGCCGAGGCCGACGGCAGACTGAGGCTGAAGCTGAAGCAGGCTGAGGCAGAGGCAGGCTGAGGCTGATGCTGATGCTGAGGCAGGCTGAGGCTGAGGCTGAGGCTGATGCAGGCCGAGGCTGAGGCAGGCGGAGGCTGAGGCCGAGGCTGCAGGCAGACTGATGCTGAGGCTGAAGCAGGCTGAGGCTGAGGCTGAGGCAGGCTGAGGCTGAGGCTGAGGCAGGCTGATGCTGAGGCAGGCTGAGGCTGAGGCTGAGGCTGAGGCAGGCTGATGCTGAGGCAGGCTGAGGCTGAGGCTGAGGCTGATGCAGGCTGAGGCTGAGGCAGGCAGAGGCTGAGGCCGAGGCTGAAGGCAGACTGAGGCTGAGGCTGAAGCAGGCTGAGGCTGAGGCTGAGGCAGGCTGAGGCTGCGGCTGAGGCTGAGGCTGAGGCTGATGCAGGCTGAGGCTGAGGCTGAGGCTCATGCAGGCTGAGGCTGAGGTGAGGCAGGTGAGGCTGAGGCGAGCAGGCTGAGGCTGAGGCTGCGGCTCATGCAGGTGAGGCTGAGGCAGGCGGAGGCTGGCGGCCGAGGCTGAAGGCAGATGAGGCTGAGGGCTGTGAAGCGGTGAGCCTGAGGTGAGGCAGGTAGGCTGAGGCTGTGAGGCTGCTGAGGGTTGTGGCAGGCTGTGGCAGGCTGAGGCTGATGCAGGCTGAGGGTGAGGCTGAGGCAGGCTGAGGCCGAGGCTGAAGGCAGACTGATGTTGAGGCTGAAGCAGGCTGAGGGCGAGGCTGAGGCAGGCTGAGGCTGAGGCAGGCTGAGGGTGAGGCTGAGGCAGGCTGAGGCTGAGGGCTGGACTGCGACTGCCGTATGCCATGCGGACTGTCATCGGCGAATGCGACTACATTGCGAGATTAGCAGGAATTTACAATGGATTCCCATCCGATATAAGGGGAATGCTTCCAGATATGCTCTTACAAATCGCTGTTAGGAGCCCTTTGCGGGTTAATTTACCTAGCAGCGAGCTGCTAGGTTTCTAGTGGTGTCAAAAGAGAAAGCAGCAGATGAAACTCCACAGGGGGGGTTGGGGGCATCCGGGGAGCTGTTGTCGAAC